AAAACGTAGGCAATCTACTGTACAAAAAGACGATGCGGCGTTCCGTCTGAAGTTTCAACAAATGGATTTCGTATACCATGGGAATCCTCTGCTAAGTATCTCGGTGTCATTCTAGACAAAGGGATGACTTGGCGAAACCGTACAGATGCGCTAAAAACTAAATTCCAAATTACTTTTCGACAGCTTTGCCCATTATTATGTAAACGTTCAAAGTTAAGTTTGATTAACAAGATTCGACTCTATAAGCTAGTCATAAGACCATCAATGACTTACGCATGTGCGGCTTGGTGTTTTATTGCTAAAACACATGCAGTTTCTGCAAAGCAGGACGTTGCGCACTATTGCGGTCGCTCCATGATATGTCTCAAACGAAACTCTACATAGAGACCTTCGATGTCCCTTACCTAAAGGACTACATTAGGCAACAGGCGCAGCGGCGCTATAGCCTAGCGGAATCGCACAGAAACCCTATGTTGCGTGAGTCAGTGGACTACACAGTCGAGCAAGTTCTCAAGCACAAAAGGTCGTGGCTCGCACTGTAATCAAAATTAATTCGTGAAGTTAGAACAACCAAAATTGGAACATCTTGACAGAATCTTTAGAAAAAATCGAATATTTTTAGATCATATCAAAATCTGTGAAGTGATTTTAACAATGCTCTCGTTCTTCCTTCTCTCCTTTCCTTCCCTTGTTTCCTTAAAATTGTCTGGTTTCTGGATTACCAGACCTGACAGACTTACAAACTGACACTGTGACTCAAAAGCTAAGGTACCACGGACCGGTCTGACAACCAACAATGACTTGACTTAAGGTAGAGACATTTCATATGTCAAAATTAATTATAACAGAGTCAGTATTACTGGAACTACTGGCCTGTAAATAGGCTTGAGCAACGAAGCAACTTTGCTGAGATTCAATTAATATAAAATCGAACCGAAGCCCTGTTGGACTAAACCAGCTACTCCTCTATGAGGATATTCAAAGTCCATTGTCTTCCGTGAAGTTACATATAGATTATGATCTCCTTAGTCAATACAGAAAGACAAGATTTATCCTCATTCAAGTCCTTTAATATGCATTACTGCTTTCCTGTACCATATGTTCGTAAGTGTTTGAGAAGCAGCGCAGCCACACCAGCAAGATTTTTTTTCACACGAAAGTTCGAGTTCAGTTGTTACTCAGCAATGATTCTTATTGTACATATCCAGTCATAGGTACTAGGGCTGTCCCCATTCCAAGTTTTCAATCAATCTCGAAATCCTTTGAACCATTTCACGCTGCCTTTTGTCTTAATTTGTCACAGGATAATTGAAGAGAACATGCTTTGCAGTTCTCTTGTTTCTCTATACTTTTTGCTTGATATATTAAACCCTATTCTCTATAGGTATGCACTGAAGCACCACTGACCAGTCAAAAAGCCAGTAAAGTTTCGTAGCTCCTTCCTACTCAGTCTTAGAGCTTCTGCTGCAATGAGATCTGAAGGACCCCTCAGGAGTATCTTGTAGCTACTACTTCTTATTACTTAGTCCCACCTCTTTTTGGATGAATTTAACACCTATGTAGAGAAAATCCCTTGCAAGGCAGTACGCTGATTCCTGTCCAATGAGGGTGGGACTGCCTTTCTGACACACCCATTAGCACGCTTATGACTAACTATGCCCATATGATTTTCACCCATGAAAGAATCACCCGATTGTGCTTGTCAACATATTTAGGTTGTTATTGTACAGTATCCTGGAGGTATAGCTGTGGCTTACTATAACGATAGGAGCTACAGGCCTCTCTGTATGTAGTACCTTTCTTGTTTCAACAATAGTTGATATTTGAAAAGTAAAAGTTTTGCAATGCAGCTTTATTTATTGGCTTCGTTCAAAGTAATTTCCACCACATTCAATACAGTTTCCAAAGCTCTCAGAAGGTCCTCGTCGCTAGAAAACCGTTTTCCTTTTAGCTTCATTTTCAGATGCGGAAACAGCGCAAAGTCGCAGAGAGCAAGATCTGGACTGTAAGGAGGGTAATCAATAAGTTTCAGTCCAGTAGTGGTCAAATACTCGGTGCAGGCGTTCAGCTGGCGCGTTGTCATCGTTGACGTACCAAGTTTGCATTCTTGACTTTGGCCGCAGATTTTTCATGGACTCTATGCCTTTAGGCAGGCGCTGTTCCACGTACCACTTAGGTGTGACTGTCTTCTATGTTTTCAAAACGACAAGCTCCACAATCCCGCTCGATTTGAAAATTACAGCTAACATTTTTTTCTTAACAGATCGGGATTTTCTGACAGCTACCGGTGGATCCTCATCACCAAAGACCCAAACGTTGTTTTAAGCCTTAATCGACACACTGTAATAATAGAGCCAAATTTCGTCACCTGTCACGGTGCTGTTCACATACCGAGATAGCTCCTTAACAAACATTTTCAGTATCTTTTGGCACCAAGTCGTACGACGAGTCTCCTGCTCTTCCGTCAGACTATGCGGTACACAGACAGAACAAAGTTTCCTTACGTATAAATGGCCATGCAGAGTTGAATGAATTGCTGGTGCATGAAGGTGTAAGGTCTCCTCTATCTGCTGGTATGTCACTCTCCGGTCCTCATTAAGCATTTTCCTCGCAGCCGTAATGTTTACCTCTGTTACTGACGTTCGCGGCCTTCCCTCCCTATTAAGGTCCTCCAGAGTGAAATTGCCTCTTTAAAATTACCTGTACCACCTGAATATAGTTGCACGATGAGGACAATCATTCTTTAATGCAAGCATCATTTCTTCTATTCACTGAACTATGCTTAAACCACGCGTAAAGTTATACCGTAAACATGCAGTAACAAAACTTTTATAGTACCATTTGTACTTTTCCTTCCGCAGCTCCTTCCTACTGGGAGTTTCTGCAGGACGCTAATGAGCCGACAACTCAAGGCCATTAAGGGTAAGGGCTGATGAACATAAATCAAATGCAGAGTATGATTAATTGACGCGCTATGTCACCATACTATACATATAGACCACATACATATACGTGCGCAGGCTATAGGATTTATTGAACAGGAAATCATTGAATCGGTGTCTGTATAAGTTACATGCTACATACGGGGCGCTAAGTGACAAACCAATGTCAATGTTCATTTATCGTTATCTCTTGCCATTATAAAGCCACCGTTTCGGTTCGATGTGGCCGTAGTGTCATGTAGAATTCTGAGATTTATAAATTACAGTGGAATAAAATGAGTCGATGAAGATATCAAACTTGTAAGTGAAACAAAGGTAGTTTTATATAAAGATGATTTTTTTAATAAAGTACGCTAAAGCAATAGCTTCTCTAAAGAGTCTATGATTGCATATTAGGAATTACAATGGATAAATTTGCATTATTTCTTTCTTTTTTTCTCCTCGCGGTCACCGAATAATTTTTGTTCCTCTTATGCGGACTGATAAAGGCACAAATAATGCCAAAAGGGTCTCGCTAACTAGCAACGATTCCGAGAAAGAGACCGATCAAAATTGATAAAGGCTGACGCCCGCAGGGCTTGAAAATCTACATTACGTCGGTTTATTTGATACTATGTAGATTTTTTATGACGTTAGTTTTCCTACAAGATGGCAACTAGGAACTGAATGAATGAATGAATCTTGAATTTTAGAGGCATCCCGGCCACCATAAGGAGCCAGTGCATAGGCCGCTTAAGCGGGCCCTTATGCACCTCTACAATACTTAAATCACAAGCCTCGCCCTTTTAGCGAAGTTGAGAATCGCCTTGAGTCCAAGCTCCTTTACGTCCTGAGGGTCCAAAGTAATGGACCCCAGTATAGTCTGCCTATAGTAGCTCAGAGCTTCACAGCGACACAAAACGTGCGCCGAGGTCTCTTCCTCTACTCCGCAGCGTTCGCATAAGGGATCCTCAGCCACCCCCATCACGTGCAGGTGCCGCCTTAACGTGTTATGGCCAGACAACAGTCCCACCAGCAACCTTAGGTTGGCTCTACCCAGAGATAGGCAGAAGCGTCCATCCTTAGCACTGGGCCCTTCAATGAGCTCTCGTGCCTGGCGGAGATGTCTAGAGATACTTCTCCATTTCTGAGAGTGTTGTCTTGCAACCCACGTCTCCATTTTCCTCCTAGCTTTATGCGCGGTTACTCCTAGAGCTGGCTCAGGACCAACGAGCTTGCTGGCTGATCCTGTTTTCGCCAGAGTGTCCGCCGTCTCATTGCCCCTTATCCCAGCGTGCCCCGGTACCCATATTAACGATACCGGATGCCTCGCTGCGAGGCAATCCAGAGCCTCCCTGCATTGCAATACAAGACTCGAAGTAATCTTACATGCACTTAGTGCTTTCATTGCAGCCTGGCTGTCGGATAAGATTGTTATTCTTCTCCTAGGAACTAGCTGTCGTTTACTTCATGCGCGGAATGAACTATTTGCACACTACCAGTTGACATTTTACCGTTTTTTTTTCACAATATACAGGGTATTTGTAAGGACGATGCAAATTCTTGGAGAGGCAGAAAATTTAGAATCTTTTAAGCTAAAATTACCTTAGTTCAAAGTTTTACGGTTTTCGAGCTATTCGAGATTTACGATTTTTATTGAAAAAAATATGTTATTTGTTCCTGTTATCACTGAAAGAACATCAGGCAACATGAAATAGTCTTTAAATACCTGACAGTGTGGTTTTTTTCCGAAGGTAGAGAAAAGAAAAACAAATTGACTATAAACAAATAATAAATACATGTTTTCGTATTTTTGTTATACTGTTAAGGTACGTTTTTGCGTGCATGATAAAACTAAATTCCACACATTCTTGCTTTATTCCTGTCCAAACAAGTAAATTGTAATTCATGAATTTCAGTCCAAAAACCCTGGAATAATTAGTTTGTAAAATGGCCGCTTTCACTAACGAAGAATGCGAAGATATCGTTTACATGTATGGCAGAGCACATGGTTATGGACTAGAAGCACGACGGTTGTGCCAAGAGTGATTTCCTGGGAGAAGATAGCCTAATGCCAGAGTGTTTTACAATACTTACCGGAGTCTTTACGAGACTGGAAGTGTAACACGTAATGAACCTGCTTTTAATCCAGGTCGATATCCTCCTGGAGCCGAAGATCTAATCCTCCAAGCGTTTGAAGATGATCCCACTACAAGTACTAGTTGCTGCTGATCTTGGTTTGTCACCATGGAAGGTTTGGAGTATCATGCACCGTGAACGAAAATATCCTTTTCATGGTATCGGCGTATAAGGACTTGAAGATGGTGATCCTATTCGCAGAAGCCAATTTTGTCGTTTTCTCTTACATAATGACATTGAGAATGAACGGTTCCTGGAAAGCATTCTATGGACGGACGAATCCAATTCTTCAAAGGAGGGCATTACAAATTTTCACAATTTGCATCAATGGGCTGATAAGCAGGAAAATCCACACTGGAAAAAACAGGTGTCTTTTCAAAACAAATGTTCCGTTAATGAATGGGCCGCCGTCATGGGACAAAGATTAATCGGTCCTCATTTTTTGCCTGACAGATTAAACGGCAACAGTTATCTACACTTTTTCCCGAATTACTTGAAGGAGGAAATTCCAGGTGACGTGCAAATTGTTTTCCAAGACGACGGATGTCCAGCTCATTTCCGTTTAGACGTAAGACAATATTTGGGCGATACTTTTCCAAATAGCTGGATAGGCAGAGGTGGACCAATTTCGTGGCCTGCTAGATCCCCGGACTTGACACCATTGGATTTCCATGACGGGGGGTGGGCTAAGCAGTTGGTTCACACTGAACATACCACTTAATAACAAAAATTCGAGAAGCTTCTTATTTAATGCTTCAATACAGGTTATTAAATACAACAACTACCGAAGTAACACGTAGAACTCGAGCATGTATCAGAATCACTTTGAACACCAATAAAACAACATATTTCAATAGTTTACTTTGGTTTGTTATCTCGAATATCTCGAAAACCGTAAGACTTTGAACTGAGGTATGTTTGGCTTGAAGACTCTAAATGGTCTGCCCTATCCCATCCACAGGCCTTTCAAACACCCTGTAGAGGTTTTTTAAGTAATAACCCTGACGTTGTTTATTCTAAAGTGAGATTTTGTCAGTTCATATTCGAATATATACAAAATAGCAGAAATACAAAACGCACTAAGTGAAATGAAAAACTCTGGAAAAACGAGCGACGGTAGCTCCTTAATCAGCTAAGGCGTCATAAATTACTGTAGGAACTAGTAAAAGCCACCTACAAGCTATATCCAAATACCCTGATAATAAGTAAAGGATATACAAACTTTTTTTCTTTGTTTTTATGGTATTTGTGCCAGTTGGTTATGAATGAATATTCCCACACTTTCCTTGACGTTTCAAATTATTTTACAACAACCATCCTCAGAAATGAAATGGTCCTACAATATCACAGCTAGCTGAAATTCAAAACAACAAATATATCTAAAACTCTAACCGCAGAAGTACAGACCGCCCAATTCACACTGCCTGCTAGGTTGCTAAAAACAGTATGACTGCTATCTTAAACACTAACTAACTCAAAAGCAGCATAAAAATAATGCTAAACAAGCATCGGGTAACATAATATAGACAATAGGTGTGCAACTATCAAATAGTTACACGGTTGGGAGTGCACAACAAGTTTGTTCATTGGCATGTACTTTTTATTTTATCATTTAAGCTCTGTAATCAAGGTGTTATAAATATTTCCCAAATTGTCAACGTCTGTTCTGAAATCGTTTATACCAGTTGCTGGCATGGTGAATTATTTGCACATTTTCGAAATCAAATGCATGTCCAGTTTCCTAACTGGTAAAAGATTAACATTTACATTGACACCGCTTGACGTGTAATAAACACGAAGCTATAGGCTGGTACCAAAACGAAAAGAGTAACGTAGCACATTGTATACTACTGCTAACGAGGATCAGCGCGCACTGAGTCTGCCGATGCAAGGAAGTGCCGCGCTGGCAGTGCCGTACGCTATGTTATGTTTCCTTATTCAGTGTGTGTGACCTAGTAAAGTAAAATTTTAGCGCAATGTTTTCTACAAGTTGTTTAGCGGGGCTCCTACAATCACGAGCACCATCTGCTAAAGTAACGGGGGGGGGGGGGTGAAAAGGAAACAATGGTAGGCTGGTCTTAGACGGTCGTCGGCGCTACTTTGGAAGAGGAAAGGATGACTGCGGGTAAATTTTTATAATAACAGATTAGCGATCTAGCCTGTAAATCGTTTCCTATTTTGGTACTCAGCAAGTGATCATTTAGTATTGTTCTACCCTTGTTATTATTCGACGATATTGTGTTGCTGAATTGTTGTGCTGTCCTCGTAGATACTCTTTTTGGTGTGATTGTTCTTGAGTGCCTTTTTTATCAAGGTTGATAATGGACAATAAAAGGTCATATGCGACCATTTTAATTACGAATGCATTGATGAAGTCAATAATAGTGTGGAGCAGTTCCGCTTCGAAATTGACGATTTATTTTTGGATGAAATTTTCACAGTATGCTGAAAACAAAACCCCACACGGTGCTATATAGCGACTTTTTAATTTTTTTTACTAGGTTCTTTTTAAAAAAATCGCGAACTTGAACAGAAAAAGTGCGCACTTCAACCCATCGTAAAGCTTGTGCAAAAACAAAATTCCAAAAAGTGCTCCTATAACACCCTGGGCAATTATCTTCTAATCATACTGTATGAATTTCATTAAAAAATGGAGTGTCAGTTTTGAAGCAGCTGAACCCTTGTAAACGGCTTGAAACTCACTGCGTCGGAGCCGCCTTAAGGTCTTTGACTAGAGTTTGATAAACATACTAACCGAAATGTTAAGTTTTGTACATTAGCACAGAAGCATAATTAACATACACCAAGATGTCCGTGTGTCAGACTACAATAGTGGCTTAGTAAATATACAGAGTGATTCACGAGTCGTAACCAAAAATGAAACATCATACACAGTAACCGCATTTTAAGCGGAGTAACATTTTTACCTCGAGGCCTTCATTGAAATTTGAAAATAAAAAACATTTTTTTAATATCTTCAATACCGTCAACTGGAATGAACTAAAACTGGACTCACCTAGGTATTGACCACTTTCAAAAATCTTTACTTAAGATTAAGGTGCACCAGTGGTGGAGATACAGGGGATTAGTAGAATTATTTTTCCAAATAGTACGCTACTGTTTTTTTGCGAAACGCGCTCTTTCTCGAATTTTACTTTCACTTTGCTACAAATTTTCGTAAAAATGAAACAAATTAGGTCATTCATGAAGAGCCGAGATAGAGTTAGTTCAAAATAAAATAGGAGGCCCTGATACCAACTTGACGTTTCTTGGGAAACTTATGTGTTATACGGTTATTATCGTTACTACTACCATTTTTTTTGTGCAGTCAAGTCAAAAGTTTCTTTTTTCCATTTTCGGGTGTTGTGAAATGGAATTTAGCAATGATGAGTACGCCGATGTTATTTTTGTCCGGGTTCAGTAATGGAAATGCTTTAGGGGCTTCTCGGGAGTCTCAACGTAGATTTCCTAACAGACGCCAACATACCCCAAAGGTTTTGATGCATTCAATTCTAAGACTTCAACATTATGGAATTGCCAAACTTCCCGGAGATAGAGGCCATGGTGTCCGGCATACTGTTCAAGAGTAAGTGGAAGTGATTAATCTGGCATAGGATCTTCGTAGAACAAGTACTAGGCGGATTGCAGCCCAGTTCTCATGTTCCCAAAGTCTTGCCTGGACTAAATATTTAAATCGGGAAGTTTTAGTTCCTTACCATCGGCAAAATCTGCAATGTCTGCAACCCGGCGACGAAGTGCAACGGCGAAATTTTTGTAAGCGGTTACCGCAAATGCATAATCAAAATACAGATTTTATCGATTTGGCTTTGTGGTCAGATGAATCGCTTTTTACGAGGAATGGAACCTTTAATCTGCATTACGAACATATTTGGTCGTTAGAGAATCTCCATTCTGTAAGAATCAACACAAATTTTCTAGAAATGGGTGGTGCGGCATTTTCAATGGCCATATGTTTATTGCCCCAACGCTTAAATGCAAACTCATACTTGGTCTTTTCTAGAGAATTACATATAAAATGTGTAAGATGATGTTCCGTTAGCAACGAGAGTACGAACGTGGTATCAGCACGACGGTGCCCCACCGCATGTTCGTCGTGACGTAACCGCATGGATGAACAATCATTTTAGACAACGATGGATTGGCAGAAGCGGACCAGTACATTGGCTTGCGAGGACTCCTGCTTAGAACCCTCTGGATTCCTTTTTGTGGGGCGCCTTTGAGCAATTATTGCATGTTGAACAAATAATTAATACTGTTGATCAGTTACAAGAAATAATAGAGAATGCGCCTGTCACGTGCTAAAATCACGTTACCGTTCTTTTTACTGTTTTGATCACTTATGAGTAATTCAAATTTCTATTTATTAATAGTAGAGTACCGATTCCTGGACCAAACCCTTTTCAATGATTTAATTTTGTCAAATTTCACAGTTTATTGATTGTAGAGTTTTTCACGTATTACACCTGTTATTCTTAGCGACTCAATATTGTATTGAAATCCTTCTTCTATCTGAGAAATCTCTTAATAAAATATTGTTCCTCCCTCGTAGACAGATTTGTTTCTGCTCAGTGGCAATCAGCGCGCCACCTTGTGACTTTACACGTACTAGCCGTATACGAATGTTTACCTTGCTATCAAGATACCTTCTGTAAAATTTATTTTTCTATCAAGATACCTTCTTTACCGGCTTTTATCTATTCCTTTCGATATTCTGTCGAACGTGTTTTCTTCGGGGCAACTTATTTAACCTTCTTTTAGGGGGTTGCGTGCGCAGACGGTCCAGCGCCATGTTACTTTCTGCTGTAGTTTTGGTTGTGTGCGAGCGTTATTTTTCGTTAACTTCCAGATTTGGAGATATTAGCGCCCCAACCATCAGTTTATGGAGTAGTACTTTTTTATTTTGTACCTTACGTTTAGTTGTGTTGGTGGGTACTACCCCGTCCATTTTGTAATGGGATTTTAAGCTCCAGCGGTAAGTTCGCTTTTGTATACCGTCGGACTACGTCTTTTAATGCTTTTCCTGGAGAAGTTTGTTCAATATCTGATTCCTTTTAGTGGAAATCCCTTGTGGAGAACCACCTTCACACTCCTTCAGCTTTGTTTGGTAGCTGCCTTGTAGCTGTTTCGCAGCCGATTTTGTTGGAAACCATCTCTTCCCCGTCATAAAAACCCTGATGTGAATAGCTAAAATATCGTTTTAATTGGGTATTTTATAGATATTGATATA